GAAGACATTAAATTATTTTTCAATCCTAAGTAAAATGACGAAAAAAAGTAAGTTTGGTTAAGCGTAAACTTCAGCCAAGAGATGCAGCAAAATGTTTAATTTTTTTAAATTGCTCCGTTCCGTTGCTGCGTGAAGGAAGGACAAAAACAAATAAACAAAAAAATCACACTTTCACATTTATAATATTATATTAGTATGAATTGTCAAAAATGATAAATAAACTTTTAAAACCGGTTTACAATCGGCTTTTTGAGGGTGGAACTATACCGGTTACTACTATAACGGTTCTGAGTGACCAGAAAGGATAGAAGCACAGGAAAGTGCAATTTCATGCTGCCAGATGTAGTTCAACCCTAACCCTTAAAACGGTTTAACTCTTTAGGTTGGGTAAAATCTGTAAAATTAGACTGTTTAAAAACCCTATACAGATAACCTTTGTGGTTGATCATGACATTAAAAAATGGTAAAAACATTTCATAGACTAGGCAACACTCGAATATTATTGCGCAGTATTATTACTTGTATTGACATTTAGCTTTCGTATTATTTTACAAAGAAATACACCATAAAGTTGTATAGTTACTTATGAAAAGTGATGTTCTTATCCTTATCTTTTTTCCAAGAGTAATTTTTAAATGATTTCACAGCACAAACAGTCATTTTGCGAAATTAAAAACACCGGTGCGTGACGTATGTTCACAGCGAACGTCGCTGGCGTAATGGCGGAACGATCGAACGAATACGCCAATATTGGCGCCTTTGAAATGGAAGCGTTTTAGGCGCGCATACACGGTATCTGGACCTATAAAACATCTTTGATATACACATACCGGGTGTTTGTGAAACGCTCCCGAAATCAAAGACAGACAGATAGTACTAACGATACCTTTGATCATGGGCAGGAAGAAAATTGATCCCGAGGAAAAAAATCATCTTTTCACAACGTTTTATTAGTTTTATTCACGCTCCATCATGTTAGTACAGCTAAATGAAACGATAATTCTATAAAAAAAACCATAAAAATACTTAAACCTAAAACGTACGATCGCTAACTGAGTTACCTAATATTTACAACACTTACAATACCTAATTATTTACAACACTTGTCTAAATACCTAACTTATCTACTTAACCTACTATTTTCCCACTGTGCTAGTCTCCACCTAGCTATTTTCATTCGAATTCACAGGTTAAATAAACCAAATACCTGGTTTGATTCCCCGCTAGTGAAAAAATTAAATTTTAACAACGATTGAGTTTGCTTTTTTATCCATCGTGTAGGTATGTTTATTATTCTGATGTATTCAGTTATGTACCTATTCAGATCAGTAATGCTATTCTGTAAATAACTATTTCGATATCGAGCTTCACCTGAGTGACAAAGCTCACTTCGAAAGCGATCCCGCTTGACCTTGATTTGGAATTCTGTAAACATGCGTTACGCACTTGCGAAGTGAAGTGAGTCTTGAATCCGAGAACAATAATCTAGTTGTGTTCGTTTTATCGATATTCTTTTCGAATTACTTTATTTTAAAATATGTGCATGATCTTTCTACCAATTCGGTATATAAATTGCTTAAATACTTCAAATATCTAATATTTGACAAAGAAATATTTATTTTTATTGAAATAAAGAAAAAAGAAACATTTGCATTGGCTCTATGTTGTTAGGATTCGTGTCTCGAAAAATGATGTTTTTGTGTACATATTAGCCGATTGACGTTTAGAAGCGATTTCAAGTTATAATATAGTAAAAAGTTTGTTTTAGTGTTCCGATTACTAAAATACTGAATATACCATGAAGTAAGTATATACTTTTGTTATTAATATTAGTTTCTTTGTAACTTAGCCAATCCCTACTGTAACATTAATGACTTCGTTTTATTTATAGCCCTGTAGAAAGAGCGGCTCATCCCTCAACGGCCCAAATTCACGCACTACTAAATTTTTTGGAAATGAATCCAAGCCTTGCAAAAGGTTTTTCAAAAGTTCCCAGTGCAAGGGACACAGCCCGCAAAAGCTGGGAGAAACTGGCGCTTCAACTCAATAGTTTAGGGGGCTGTGTTAAAACCTGGAAACAATGGACTAAAGTTTGTAATTTTGTGACCAATTACTTTTACGTCATAGTAAGTATACATAGTTACTTAAATTTTAAATAAATCTGTTTTAGTACTGGGCTGATAAAAAAAGTGCTGTTAAGAAGAAAGATGCATTACGCTTTAAAACTAGAAATAAGACTGGTGGCGGTAAAGAGGTGGTGGAGCTTTCGGAGATTGAAGAGAGAATATTACACTTAATGGGTGACGAAAATTTTGCCACTGGTGACAGGCATTTAGAAATTAATCCATTTTTTGAAGTAAGTTGAATTGTTTTTACTTTAATAATATTTTATAAACTGAGACAGTTTTAATGTATTTACATATTCTTTTTTAATTTTTAGGCCCGGGCTGGAAAGAGTCCTGAAAATAGCCCCTCTTTGCTGGCTTCTACCCAGTTAATAGGCCTAAATCCATTACCGTTACCAATGGTAAGTTATTTTGGCTAACACAATGATTAAATAATCCCAACTTCTACAGTTACCATACAAAACCAATTATAGTATTATATTTTATCGATTGACTGTCTGAAATCAAATCATGTAAATTTGCATAGTAACAGAGATATTTTGAAACGTCTTCGTATCAGCCAGATCGAGAGGAAGGATTTAAAAGAATGTTTGTGGGAGTATCTCCTAATGTATAACAGCGACCCTCCTAACAGTTACCGGGAGGTTACCGTCTGAACTGTTTTTTTTTCAACGAAAAATAGGGATAAAATTCCATCAATAGGTGAAATAAATTACAGACAATCGTTTAGATTCAGATATCAGGGATAGAGACAAAATACAAAAAGAAAAAGGAAAAGAGTATGTAGATAGGAAATGCAGAGCAACTCACTCAGATATAATACAGGGAGATAAGGTTTACGTAAAAGCAGTGGAAAAATCGAATAATCTTACAACAAATTTTAAACAGACGCCACACGTCGTAGAGAGTGCACGAGACGGTGACTGCACAGTACGCAATAGTGAAACGAACCAAAGGTTTAGGAGAAATGTGATACATTTGAAGAAAGTAGGAGGCGATTGGACGGCTATTCCACCCGATCAGTCAATGAAAAAGAACAAAATCTAGAACAGGATAAAGAAGACGAAAATATGTAATAATTAATACAGACAATACAAGCTGCTGTGTGATTGTTATAAGTTATAATAAAAATAAGAAAAAAATCTTGATAAGAACGAGATGTAGTGTTTGCATATATATATAAGTCACTGTCTCGAGCGCACCGCGTCAGTTACACGAGAGCCTCGGGCGAGAGTGGACGTGTTTAGTTAAGTGCGTGCCGAGCCTGTGTTACACTACAGTGATTAGAGAAGATAGCAGACAATACAACTTTCGTTTTTATTTCCTTATTAATTTTATATTTTCTTGAAAAGAAATGAATTTCCCTCATAACTATGTCGTACATATTATTAAATTAAATTATTAAAAACTGTCGAAATATCATATCCATCTATATTTTAAAATGCCATCTATATCTATAAATGAAGAAACTGCTGTAGTATCAGATTTAATTATGTTATACAACATTCAACAGTACAAGTAAATTAAAAGATATGTCATAGATGTCGCGCTACTCCATTTTTTATTTCTATTTCTAATGATGCTATCGTTGTAATTGTAAACCTTATTTTATACTCGATAATGTTTTAAATCGTGTAGTTGATAAGTCACTTATTTTGATTCAAAGCTTTAAATGAAATTTAAAACAATATTAACATTTTGCTCTTGCATTTCACTCAGTGGACCTAATTTGAATTTTGAATTTAACATCAGACGAATAGGTACTTTTGCTTTGGTTGTGTTTATTTATTCAAAAGTGTGTTCGCTTTAATTGTTCTGCTTATCGAATTTATGCCCTGACACTATGGAACTTGAGTGCTGTGTACGTACTATGTAAATATTAGAAATAATTAGTGTAAATAATAAGAACTTTTTAGAACTTCGATATAATTTAATTTAGTAAAAATGCCAGGTAGTATTTGGACTTATTTTCAAAAAAATAATATTACTCAAAAAGGACAATGTAATATATATAAAAGTTTTTTTTAGTTATAAAAGTTCAACAGGCAATCTAACCACCCATTTAAAATCTAAACACATTGCTGCTTACGCTGAATTAAAAAAAAAATATTCGGAACTCCCGGCAGCTCTAACGCCAAGATCTTTGCAGGCTTCTCAGAATACATCCAGAAATGTGTGCGTTGCTGATGCTGTACCGTCTACGAGCACTTATCGTGACGTTGATATCGTTGTCGCGTCATCGAATGACAATGTACCAGCGGAAGCATTCGTTCCCTTTCCTCCAACGAAGAGGCAACGCCAAATTGAAGCTTATATTCCAAAAAAAATATCTGCAGAGCAAAAAAAAGCAATTGACGCTGACTTAATGGATCTCTTCATTGATGCCTTTCATTCGTTTAGTTTAGTAGATGAAAGATCTTTTAGGAAGTTTGCTCGGTGGATTCCAGGGTCTGTTTTACCCACCCGAAAAACTGTCAGTAATAGCATGCTTCCAGAAATCTACCACAAAACTAAGATGATTATTCAAAGGAAAGTATCAATAGAAGCCGAAACCATTTGCATAACAACCGACTTGTGGACATCCACCTCTACGGATAGCTATATAGCAATTACAGGACACTACATAAATAATGATATGAAAATCCAAACTTTGTTGCTGGACTGCTGCAAGTTTTTTGGGAATCACACTGCCGACAACATCGCAGCTGAGATCAAACGAATATGTGAAGAATGGGGCATATTAAAAAAAATAACTTTTCTATCACTGATAATGCGTCCGCTATGCTAAAAGCAATGAAATACATTTTACAACTAAATCACTACGGATGCTACGCCCATTCGTTAAACCTAATTGTGCAATTTAATTTGAAAACGATGGAATCTTCCATTGATAAAGTAAAAGTAATAGTACGTTATTTTAAGCAGAGCACCACCGCTGCTGATAAATTAACCAAATATTTAGTGGACCACGGAAGTCCACCAAAACGGTTGAAACAAGACTGTCCGACCAGATGGAACTCAACATTTTATATGTTGGAAAGGTTTATTGAACTAGAAGAACCACTGCGTGCTTCCATGGCAGTAATAAATAAAGATCTACTCGTCATATCTTTAGAAGAATGGAAGGCATTTAAAGTGCTGTGCCAGGTACTGCGACCCTTCGAAGAAATAACACGATTTGTGAGTGGTGAAAAATACATCACAGCGGGTTCAGTAGTCATTTATACGAGATGTCTAGCTGAAAGCCTGAATTTATTGATGCATGACAATGTCCTGTGTGATGTTGTGTACTTGATTGCATTAAATTAAAAAAAGGGTTAGAAGAAAGATTTAAAAATATAGAAAAAAGTGGAAGTTTTTCATTCTGCCTTCTCTTAGATCCCAGATTTAAATTAAAGGCTTTTGAAGACCAGGCAACGGGTTTATTAACAAAAAACAAGTTGATTGAAATGGTACAATGCCAAATATCAAAACAATTTAATTTCCAACCAGTTTCAAAGGAAACATCAATAGAAAAAGAAAAAAATGACAAATACTCTCCTTTTAATATTTTAGACAGTATAATTGTAAGCAATTATACCATAGGAACTCCGTTATCGAAGGCTGTCAAAGAAGTTGACATGTATTTAAACGATGATCCACTTCCCCTTAAAATGTCATCGGGAGAATTGAACGATCCACTTAAATGGTGGAAAATTCATCGTCAAATATACCCAAATTTAGCATCAATTGTTAAAACACACTGCAACATAGTCGCCACCTCAGTTCCCTGCGAAAGGTTGTTTTCGAAATCGGGATTAATATTAAACGATCGGCGAACGAGGCTTACAACTCAAAAAGTGCAAAAACTAATGTTTTTAAATGTCAATATGGACAAAGACGTTTTAATTGGACGTAAACCATTAGCATATAAAATTTTATATTCATTAAAAAAAAGTGTATAAATAAACAAAAATACAAATAGGTACTTACTAATAGTGACTAAATAAGTATATAATATTATAGCATCTAAGACTGTATACAGGGTATTTTTGGAACGCTCCCGAAAACTAAGACAGGCGACAGCACCAAGTATACCTTTGATCATGGGTAACACATAAATTCGATCCTGATGAAAAAAAAATCATCTTTTTACAACGTTTTATTAGCTTTATTCACGCTCTATCATGTTAGTACAGCTAAATGAAACGATAATTTCATAAAAAAAATCATGAAAATACTGAAACATAAAACCAGCAGTGGAATTACTGAATTGATATCAGCTGATTTGAGGTCAATGTACGCGCGAACGCAAATTCGCGCGGCCCGCAACTAGCACATTACCTAATAATTTACAACACTTGTCTAAATACCTAACTTATCTACTCAACCTACTATTTTGCCACTGTACTTGTCTCCACGTAGCCACTAATACGAATTTACAGGTTAAATAACCCAAATAACTGGTTCGATTCCCCGCTAATGAAAAAATACTTAAATTAATGCAATGTAACCAAGATTGGAGTCATGCGTTTTTATTCATCGTGTAGGTATGTTTATTATTCTCATGTATTCAGTTATGTACCTATTCAGATTAGTCCAGTACTAAGTTATTTAAAAAAAATACTTATGAAACAGCTTACCGCTCTAAATCCTCCGTGGTCTTATGAGATGCGGCTCAAATTGTGCTCCATTCATTTCAAGGCAGATTTGGGCTCGGTGTTGCATCTCCTCATGCAGGCGGGGCATCATCGTGTGGTCTTCGACACAGTCCGTACGTAGTTTGTCGAAAACATCCACGATCCTTTGGCGCATTTCATCAGCACTATCACACTCGCGATTAAAAACCCTTTCTTTCACATACCCCCACAGAAAGAAGTCCAACGGGGTCAGATCTGGTGAGCGAGGTGGCCAAGCGTGTGGTCCTAGTCTGCCGATCCAGCGATCATCAAATAGCTCATTGAGGCGCTCACGGACTAACCTCACGACATGTGGAGGGGCACCATCATGCTGGAGCCATGTGCGGCGATATTCAGCCAACGATAGGTCGTCTAAAATGTCCACCAATTGTTCATTTATGAATTTCAGGTATCGCTGTCCGTTAAGTCGCTGTGGCAGAAACACTGGTCCTAGTATGCGATTCTTAAATAAACCTGCCCATACGTTAACCGACCATCGGGTTTGGTGCCCGGTTTGTCGAACAGCGTGCGGGTTAACCTCTGAATACACGTGTGTATTTCTTCGGTTCCACAGGCCGTTTCTGGTAAATGTTGACTCGTCCGTCCAGATGACGTGCTCAATGAAACCAGGCACACGTTGTTGTTGGTCTAATAACCAACGGCAGAAGATTCGCCGGCGGTCGTGATCGCCGGTAACTAACGCTTGCACTTTGTACACTTTATATGGGCGCAGTCGGTTACGCTTTAACACTTTGTGAACTGTACAGTATGATATACTTGTTCCATCGCGACGCCTTAACAATTTAGCGATACTTCGTGTACCTAGGTTCGGATTCCGGCGAACGACATCTAAAATACGCTCCTCTGAGTGAACAGCCACTTGACTTCCACCTCCTGCCGCTACCAGAGCAATGGGCCGATTTTCCAACACTCGCTGAAATGCTGCTGTTATCAGACGAGAGTCAGCTGGATGTCGAGCGGTCGGGAATCTCTCTCGATAAATTCGCAATGCATGCGAAGCATTCCCGCGAGCTTCACCAAGACACATTAACATATTGCCGTATTCACGAGCATTATAAACGTAGGCGTTAGGCATTATAAAAACAAAACAAGAAACTTAAACCGTAACAACAAGAATATACATTAAGTAATAAATAACAAGAATAATTTAATAAACAAAAAAATTGTACTGTCTCTCGCCACAGTCAAGACGGAACTGTAACAAAAACTAAAATTATTAATTTATTCCGCTAAAACAAATGCGGCAATGTCCTTGAAGCACTGGAACTTTCCAGACACCGTTAAAGCGTTATGTATGTTAAGACATCGTCAACGTTTATTTATTTATCACTACGACTAGTCTTCATATGGAATTTAAAAGTTATGGTTGTCATTTTTAATACAATTACACAATCAATTGTACCCTGACGCAACAAGCAGTTCTTTACTACAAAAATTATTGAAATTAATAAACGTACCTAATTGGGTACTCAGTACTCACACAATTATAAACACTATTTCATCGTTATCTTTGTTTTTGTATAAGAAAATAGAAATGAAATGGTACTGAATAATTTAATAGTTAAAATCAATTGCAATTATGATCGACAGTTGATATTATCAATGAGAATTAATGTAAAAAATAATACTTTTATTTTATTATAATTGACTTTCCGTATTTAATCCGGCCAATACTTTGAATTTAAAAAGAGGTTCGTAAATTATTAAAAATGACTTGCAAGTTTTATAGTGATTGCCGCCTCTGATTCTATTGTCGCTGGCAAATTAAATTTCTGTGGAGGGAGTGTTTTGCCTCGGCCACACACATCGCGCTAGCGCAAAGATTCGAGCTAGCACAATGTATGTGACCAGTCCTTCGTGAATACTTCGTAACTTCGTGCGAATTTTCAAGCACATCACTTCGTTATCGCAATGTATGAGGCCGGCCCTTCGTGAATACTTCGCCACTTCGTGCGAAGTTTCAAGCACATCGCTTCGCTGTCGGTAAATTCCCGCACTTTGCGCATGGGTACAGTCGCGTTCTAAAGTACTACGGCTAAGTCAAGCAAAAATTATTTATATCTATTGTTTTATGACTGAACTAGTGAACGAAAAGGTAAATATGATAGGAGAAGGTGAATGGGGAAAATTGTGCAATAAAGTTAAAAGTGTTGAGGAAGAATACCGAAAAACTTATCATGTGATCGACCTGATGACGGAAGCTCAAGCGAAGATGAAAGTGATGATGAAGTAGCATCCAGTAACACCAACACACCATCAACATCTGGCTTCCATGTGACCCAAGACGACATAATGGACGGCGTGTCACCCTTAGCTTAAGTTTTCTTGTTACAAACTACTTTATATTTTACGATAGAAATAACAAATAATGCTCAAGTAAACATTATCCATTTTTAATTCCAACCTTTTCCAAAGTTCTAAGTAGCTAGTAAAGCACCTATTATGATTCTACAATAAAACAATTAATTACTATAATATTATAAAACAATATCCCAATACCATGTAGTACTTTAGAACGCGACTGTAACTACACTGTCGACCTGTATCTAGCTCGGTGCGAAACAATCCGTCGTCGTCGTCGAAACAGCCGTCATAAGAAAAAAGGGCGCATCTAACAATTTTTGAATAAATGAGTTAAATATACCATTCGACTCATCATAAAAAGGCGCATCTACTAAATTTTTTAATATTCAAAAATATCAATATTTTAGAAAATATCGTAAGAATTTTAGACGTAACTGTTGATCACAGATGACATTTTTTTTAGTAGAAAAGACTTATACAAATTATGAAGTGTAGAGTACAAGGAGAACCATCTTATAAGGGGCGAAAGTTGAAAAAGTGTCCTACTATTTACTGAAAATAGAGGTTCCAAAACCTACCACAATAGCGCTGGCGTTTGAAAAACTACGATATGAAGATAGCTGTTATGGACGAAGTGAAGTCAGCTGAATTCAAATATTTAAAAACATTCATGACTAGAGTAGTTAGTAAAATGCCAGTACACAAAATCTCAACTATTTACGTAGTACAAAACCAAGCGGATTAATCGGTGCTTGTTTATTTCTCCATCTTACTCTAATTACTTTTGGCGCTTTTTTTAATTTATCCTATACTACTGCAGCGCCACCCTTATTCGACACGTTTTTAGGGACACTTTTCATAGTATAGAGATGGTCCTCCTTCTCTCTACACTCCACAATACAAATTCGACATAAAAGAAAAGACTTATTTAACCAGTTGCTACGTCATCTTTAACAATATTTGCATCGATTACTTAAATTTCGATTATTCTTGTCTTATTATTCTATCTTATTATTAAGAGCTTATATCTTATTATTAAGAGCTGGTGTTTCACATGTCGTCCCATATAAATTTGATCGAGGTCAGACCAATAGTTTTTGAGTTATCCTTAATTATTTATATTGAAGTCGGTTGTAAAATTTTTTAATTTTTAATTATTATCGTAGTAAGTCTGGTATGATATCCCCTTTAAAATCATAACTCAAGAGTTGCGGGTTGTTATTTTATGTGTCTCACTACCAATGCTTTTCTAATATTCACTAATAATAAAAAAGTAGTAAATTACTACTAGCCTCCTTTCAACTTCAAATGACCTTTCCAAAATAT